GGGCATTGGAACAGGCTGCCCAGGGAGGGGGTGGAGTCCCCATCCCTGGCTGTGTTTAAGGGCCGTTTAGATGCAGTGCTGAGGGACATGGTGTAGGGGAGGACTTTGTAGAGTAGGGGAGATGGTTGGACTCGATGATCCCAAGGGTCTCTTCCAACCTAGACGATTCTATGACTTAACCTGGCCATGCAGAAATCGTGCATCCAGTCTGAGCATGGCAACCCAACAGGCTGAAGGCCTTCCCTGGGATGTGCCCACTGAAGGTGCTGACTCCGCTGTAGCCCAGGTGTAGACACCTGACTTTACACAGGGAAAGGTGCGCTTGATTTCACCCCCATCCCTTTGAAGTTCAGCAGGAGCCAGGCTTCAAAATCCAAGAGGGAGTCACACATCCTGGGTCAGTTTGGCAGACCCCTTCCAGCATAAGGAGCCAAAGGAAATTTCTGGGTTTGCCTTGGGAATGTGTCTGCCAAAAAGCATATTCGTGGTGCTCCTGTGTGGCTCCTCCACCACACTGATGCTCTCCCACACCAGGGTACCAGCCTGTGAGGTGTCACCGTGTCCCAGGCAGGGCAGGAGGGACACGTGGTGATTTGCTGTTTCTGGTTCCCTTTTCCCTGCAGGAGAACAGCCATTACACAGATGTGGAGGATGCCAGACTACAGTAACCAGGTACAGCTCACACACTGCTTTTTAGAGGCTCATTCTGAGCAAAAGCTGTCAAATCCCTGCATGTCAGGGTGTGGGGGGGAGTTGCTGCTTCTAAAAATGCTCTTTTTCCACTGCTCCTCTGTGTTTTCCGAGCACTGAGCCTGGCTGCTGAGCTGGGTCACTGGTCAGCCCCTCACTCCCCTTCCCAAATCACAAATCTTTGAGGTTCAAGGAAAATTATGTACCTTTTTTTTCTCTCCTTGCAGCCCATTCAGAACAGCAGTGAGCAAGAGTGTGAGGAAAGCACGAGGCTAAACCCTGTCCTGGCACGTTGAGCAAGACAAGCTGAATCGAAGTGCTGCTGTCATCTCTACCTTGGCATTCAAAAGGAGAAACATGGCCCGACATCTTCCACCCATCTGTAAAGCAAAGACAAAGACAAACTCATCACCCCAGTGAGTCCCCACCACCCTGTGCAGTGGATTTGGAGCTCTGCAGCCAGCGGAGGTGGGAACCCAACCCTGCATATCTATAACCATCACTGACTGGAGAACGGGAGAGCAGTTGTGTCACCAACGGGTCAGAGATGTTCTAAAGCTTTCTGTAGGAGGGAGAACTAAGCCTAACCCAATAAAGACGTTTTTCCCCACGCTGGGTGAGAGCCGGAGCATTTGCTAACTGGAGGGAGAAGTACTGTCTCAGTTTGGACAATTTGTGTTCTCACACTAAAGGTGGTGTTGAGGAAGTGGGTGTGGGGTGACCTGTCCTCCCAGAATGGTCACCTCCTGCCGTGTCTCCTTTGCCCCACGCGCTGCCACGGGTACATGGTCACTTCCCGCTGGAAAGGAGTCGGTGCTGGAGCTGGTGCTGTGCTCCTTGCATCTGCTTGAGGAGAGGGGAAGGGGAAAGGAAGCTGCCTGCAGGAAAAAAGTGATCCCAAGCAGGAGAAACAAAGCATCCATCATTTTCAAGGGTTTGGTCTCCTCGTTCTCCACTGAGAAACCATGGTGGAAAGGCTGAGCATGTCTCCACAGTGTAAGGGGGGGGGTGCAAACGCATGGATGAGACCCTTTTCTTGGACCCGCTGCTCCCTGGAAGGGAGGAATCCACCTGCTTCTCCAGCCCAGCGCCAGAGACATCAGCCCCTTCCCCAGGGTGCTCACATCTGCTCTTGCTCCGGCTTCTCTGGGTCTTCCCAGGCAGGAAGGAGAGCGGTGGGACAGCTCCTGCTCCCGCTCCTGACCGTAAGGGCTGTTGCTCCATCACCAGCCTGAGGGGTCCGTGCAGCCTGACAGCTTGTCTGAGTGTGACGAGACCAGAAACGGTGAATACCCCAAGCACGATGCATGTGGGCGTGCAAGCACCTCCCCTGCCTACCCAAATTCAAGCTGCTTTTGACCCACGGCACGTCCTGCAGGCAGAGGCCAGCTTGTCGGGGGAACCCCCTTACACCGCAGCACCCAAGAGGTCTCTCAGCCTTTTATCTTCTCGTTCCTTCCTCCTTCGTGGGCTTATCCTGGTTTTTTCCTTAGTTCGGGGGTAGGTGGGACTGAATCTCACGCAGCACTTTATTCACATCAGATGTGTCCTGCCCGTCTCCCCTGTTCTCCTCCAAAAAAACACACACACACACACACCAGTGCTTTGAATCCAGACTGGTGTCCACAGCTTCTCCTTGGTCAAACCCTCCCACAAAACGCGTGGCCCCCTCCCCAGGTTGTAGAGAGTGCTCTGAAAGGGGGGTCCTGCTCTCTGCCCCAGTGCTCAAAGCCAGACCTCATCCACGGCATCCCTCTTGGAACGGCGAAGGGGAAAACAGGTCCCGGGGGGGCCACGCTTCCCTCCCCCGAGGGCCATCCTGGAGCAAGCATGGCTCTTGAAGCACAATGTTTTATTTGCATATTTCTTAGTTTCAGATACTTCACGAGGGATTCAAGGGATAACCGTGCTTTCCCCTCCCCTTTTCCGGTTCCTGTACAATTGATCCATTGTGTTGTACTGAGCCGTCGTAGAGCTGTTTTCTAGGCTTTGAGAGATGAGCTGCAGTTTTTGCTATGAACTGACTGTGATGCTGATGTTTGGGAGAAAGGTGACCTTGTACATACAATCCTGTATAATAAAAGAAAGAAATCTAATTTGCTCTTGGTCTCTGTCGTAAGCACACACGCTTTTTTCCTCGATTTCAGACAAGTCTAAGTCCCTTTCTAGGCTTCAGCTCTACCCGCAGGATTTGCTTTCCCTTGCACGAGGTATGTCCCACTGGGCTGAGCAAAAAATTTGGGTTCACAGGGGCTCTGCAACTTTTTCTCTGGAGGCCTGGAAACTCGTCTGATGCAGGAGACAAATCCAGACCCTTAATCTCTGGACTTTGCACTGGTCCAGCTCATGACAGAGTGGAAAAATGAGGCGGCTGTTCCAGTTTGCACAAGCCAACGGTGCTAATAAATACTCCTTAAGCACTTTTTCTGGCCATTTCCCCAACCCCTTCCTCAGCAGAGCAATGCTCACACCATGCTGCCGTCCGTACACATGTTCACTGGAGTCATCATCCAAACCCAGGCACGGTCGGCACCTGAGCTGTGTCTGGAGGGCACCAGTGACCACAGAAGGAAAAGCAAGCTCCTACCACACATTCAATGCATTTTTTAAGTTCCCTGTCCTAGAAGGTTGTCTGCTGAGCCTGGTCTGAGCCATCGTCCAGCACTGGAGAGCAAAGCTGCCTGTTGCCTCTGTTCAAGTTCATGGTGAGTCCTGCGGATGCTTGAACATCTTCCATCAATCCATCCATCCATCCTGCCATCAGTCACCAGTTCACTTCAAGATGAGGAAAGCAGCATGGTCAGACTAATGGCTGGATGTGCGGCTGGGAAGAAGGAATAAAGATGGGGGGAACAATTCAAAAAAGCAAATCAGATCAAGAAGATCAACATCAGCCCAACCTTAGGTCTGTTGAGCTCTGGGAGTGACCATGGCCCAATGCCTCGGAGGAGGACAGAGAGCTTCCCTGACCGGGGCCAGGTAATTGCAGCTCATCAGGTTCAGGCCATTAGAGGATGATTGAGGTCTTCTAGAAAAAAAAAAAATGTTTATATTTTGTTAATTATTTTGGGAAGGAGAGTGGGGGACTTTGGGAGCTCTCATGTAGGCCCCTGTGTGGCAATTATCTTTGCTGTTGGCCATAGACGGGGCCTCAACAAAATGAGTTCTGGGGTTTTCATGCTTATTGAGTTCTGTATGTGACCATCCAGATTTTCTTCAGTAGGATGGGAAAGGGAACGCACACCACTCCTTCCCTTCCACTCCTTGAGACCATAAAGCTTCAAAGCTTCCTGCTGCAAAGCTTCCTTACGATTTCAATGGGTCCATCAAGAGTGGAGCAGAGGGAGAGGAGGTGTCACTGTCCTCTGAGCAATGTTCTCCTGGCAACAGCGAGGGAGGGCAGGGGAAAAGGCAGCCCACTGCAGGGGCATGAGGCAGAGCTCTGGAGAAAGAGGCAGGTGAAAGCACATGGGCTATAGATGTTTAAGGACTCCATAGCTTTGAACACAGCCACACACAGTGCAGACAAAGCCATCAGTGCTGTTCAAATCTACACCTGATCACAGTTCTGTTCCCTGACTCTCCCATCCCATCTTTCCAAGCATGAACACACATGTGAGATATGGTGTGAGGTGTTCCCTGCTCAGAGCATAACCACAGCCCATCCATCCTCATCCTCACACCCAGCCCAAGCCACACTCTGCTTTCACTGGGGAACAGACCGCAGGGAAGATCAGAAGCCCCATCACTGGGCTTGTCCGGGCTAACAGAAAGATGTGTGGTCCTCCCCAAGGCATTTTAAATATCCACGACACAAAAAGATCCGTCAGAACCCATTAGCTCTTGAATGAACATAAAGGGGTCTCACCCTTCATGTACCCAACCTCCTTTTCCATGAACCCATAGGTAGATCCCCATAGAGTCACTCCCTGCCTTGCTAGGACATGGGAAGATGAAGGTTGGGCCAGTCCATTCTCCCCAGCAACAGTCAATCCAACATCTGCACGTTCTGAAGGGAAACAATCAAGATAAACTGAGTAACTCAACTGAATGTGCATGCAGTTTCCTTATTGTGAACTGGGAAAAAAAGATGCTTTTTTTATAAGCCTTTCCCCACCAAGGCAAGATGGCGTTACCAAGTGCCGAGGACCTCACTTGGCTTCTCCCATTTGCTGCTCTGCTTGTTGCCATCCCATCTGTGTTTGGTGGCAACATCAGGGTGATCTTCACTGGAAACAAACCCACTGGAAACAAACCCAAAGGTCTCAGTCCCCACTGCCTAACCTGCACCTCTGCAAAGGAAACATGAAATGTGTGAAGCGGCTGACAAACTTTGGCCTTAAATGCTCTGCTCTGTGTGGAAATTGCAGGAAGTTTTGTTGCTTTGCTTTTCCATACGCTGGCCTCGGCAGTCATTAGAGGAATAGAGCAGGGTTATCCAGTCCCACATCCTCCTTTTGTGTACTTCTGGAAATGGAAAGACTGTCTGTCGGGCCAAAACACCCATAGTCTTGCATTCAGTGTGAGTCAGAAGGAGATGCAACAAAAACCCCCACTGACTTCAATAAATCCCATCAACTGTAATGAGCGTCACAGTTAAAGTCCATGCAGTGCCTTGGAAATACTTCAGTTTTTGCAGCTGTAACTGGACCCATTCTTCAGGGAATTCGTAAAAGCCAGTTGCTGCCTCTGTGACAGTTGTCACATCACTCCAGCATTGTCTTCCCATTATCTGCAGGAGATTTAATTCCATGTTTTTCCCCTTCTCAAGAAAGTTGTGGAAACATTTGGAGATGTGGGCAAGAACCCCAAGAGCTCCTGGTGGAGTCTGTCCATCCTCTGTCACAAAAACATACCCAAGCCTGGGATGAGGATGATCCGATGCCAAAAGGACTCAGCCATACCTGAAATCCTTGCACGTGTTTGGCAGAGGGGTCTGAGCAGCCATTCCTGCACTAAGCCTCTCGCCACCGGCACCGCTCATGTAGTCATCGAGGATGGGCACATACCAGTATGGACAGGCTGCACCAGTGTAGCCAGAAAACCCTCAAGTTCAGCACCTTTTCATTGCCCAAATTTACTTCCTAGCAGGTGGGTTATTGTCTCTGACAGGTCTGAGAGGGTTCCTCTAACACAGCTTCCTGTGGATCCCAGCTTCCACCCCCTCCCTGGGCCTATGGTCCCAGTGATTAATCAAAACTAGTTGCAAAGAAGCCCCCAAGAAAGCATGGTCAAGATAGCCAAGATGCAAAGGACCATGGAGATGCTGGGAGGGCTGGAGCCCCTCTGCTGGGAGCGGGGGCTGAGAGAGATGGGGGGGTTCAGCCTGGAGAAGAGAAGGCTCTGGGGAGACCTTGGAGCCCCTTCCAGTCCCTAAAGGGGCTCCAGGGGAGATGGGGAGGGACTCTGGATCAGGGAGGGGAGCCATAAGAAAAGGGGGAACAGTTTTAAACTGAAGGAGGGGAGACTGAAATCAGTTCTTGGGAAGAACTTTGCTGTGAGGGTGGTGAGAGCCTGGCCCAGGTTGCCCAGAGAAGCTGTGGCTGCCCCATCCCTGGAGGGGTTCAAGGCCAGGTTGGAGGGGGCTTGGAGCAACCTGGTGTGGTGGGAGGTGTCCCTGCCCAGGGCAGGGGCGTTGGACTAAATAGTCTTTAAAGGTCCCTTCCAACCCTGGGCCAGGGTCTCACCACCCTCACACCAAAGAATTTCTCCCTAATATCTCATCTCAATCTCCCCTCTTTCAGTGTAAAACCCTTCCCCCTCCTCCTGTGGCTCCCCTCCCTGATACAGAGTCCCTCCCCATCTCTCCTGGAGCCCCTTGAGGGACTGGAAGGGACTCCAAGGTCTCCCTGGAGCCTTCTCTTCTCCAGGCTGAACCCCCCAACTCTCTCAGCCTGTCTTCACAGGAGAGGTGCTCCATCCCTCTGATCATTTTTGAGGCCCCCCTCTGGACCCGTTCCAACAGGTCCATGTCCTTCCTCTACTGAGGACTCCAGAGCTGGACACAGTGCTCCAGGTGGGGTCTCACCAGAGCAGAGGGGCAGAATCACCTCCCTTGACAAGGATGCCTTGATTGAGCAAGGCCTCACCGTCACCTGGCACATATGTGACATAGTTTTCCCTACAAGGCCATCGTAAAAATATCTCTTCCTTCTTCACCGCCCCAGGAGCTATCCCCAGCTTGTGGAGCCCAGACCTGGTCAACAGAAGAAACGCTGCCAGCAGGAGCACCAGGATCAGAGCAGCACTGCCTCCATGGGGAAGGAGACGTCTGGTGGGAAAGTGGCCCAAAACATGGCTGAGATGAACAATGCCGATGCCGCAAAAACACCATTAAAAGTCAAATATTTCAGAACCTTAATAGCAAAAACAAGGACAAAAGATGTACTTGGCTTCTCTAATTCACTCCAGATCCAGCTTTCAAAACCACTCGTTGCTCTGGGTGTTGAGTTCTTTTGAAAAACATATCGCTGCTGTGGATGTTGACACTTCGAGCTGTGCTAAAAGCTTTGGAGAAATCTGGTCCTCGACGAATCAAAACCGATGGTCCATTGGGAATTGTACCCATCTGCAGAAAACCTTAGCGATACATTCGAGGAGTGATTTTCCATTGGGGCGGAACAACACCCAACCAGCCATCCTCACTGGGCTGGTTATCTCACCCAGTTGCTGTACTGGGAAGAGGGAAGCCAGGGAAGGCTTTCCATCACGCCAGATCACAACCCGTCACCGTACTCATTTAAAATACTGACACAAAGAAAAAAATCCATAACTGCTTCTGCAGCTGCTCCTCAGCCCTTCCAGCTCATGCCTTAATGGATCTGAATTATTCCCTCAGAAGGAGAAGCGTTTCCCCAGCGGCAGAGCACACCAAACCTGCACTGAATCTGGGAGGGAGGTACTGAAACTGGCTGGAAACAACCCAGAACCAGCCCGGGCAAAACCCATAGCACCCACCTGCAGGAGGTACGTCTCATCTGTCGAGGGTTTAAGACTGTTTCTGTCACTCGCATCACTTCACTACAAAGATCAAAAAATCCTGGTTGTATTGCCATCACCTGTTTTTCTAGTAAAAGACAGGTTTTTCAGCTAATTA